CCAATTGTGACGAAGCAGTGGTGTTCTCAATGAGAAAGGACAATACGTTGGATGAATAAATTATATCCTGCATGTGCAGGGCTCTGAAATGCAATTTAAATCAACAAGCCGATTAGCAGACTTTACGGAACCACCATTTTTTCTGTCAGTATGCAAACGATGAAACCAAAACAGACCAACAGCATTCGACTGTGAAAACAAAACGGAATCTTACCAAATTTTCAGAGATATTTCACGACTTCAAATTTCGTAATGGGAACAAAAGCGTTATGCCAAGGATACACTTCACTTCGCGTTAACTGGCCTTTGGCAAGTGACCGAGGATTCCTAGGTCTTCTGCACAAGTGTTTAAGTTGTTTTTGACCATTGCGTGTAAAATATAATATCACGATACTTGTAACATGTTTCAGAAACAGGCATCGTGATATTCCTGGGCGGAGTTTCGTATTAAGTAACCACAAATCGCGCTGTCAAGGTGGGAGAAACAAAGATTATATACAAAAGAAACTAATTACCTGACATGATCGCTGACGGCTGAAGATGCTCTTCTGTCATTTATAGTACTGGATTCCATCAATATTACTTTGTCACTAGTCGTGCCATCTTGATGTTTTGCTTCATAATCCAGATAACTATTACAAGCGTCATTTTGTTTCAACATCCGTGTAATACACCGAAGTGGCTGATTGTCTCTTTCAGCTCTGTCACTCTTCATTCTATAATACCGAAGTTGATCCTCCAGAGCTTGAATTTTGTTATCACGTTCGATGTTTATCTCATTACGTCGTGTCAGTTCACGTGCTGCTGAGTTTAACTCAGCGCCCAGTCGTTCTATTAATAGATTTTTCAAGGTCACTTGAGATTGCAGGTCGTTAAACTCTCTTTCTTTGTTCCTCAGAAGTCTGAACACGTCCTGTACTTTAGTTTCCAAATTCTCCCTTCTGTTCAACTCCAGTTTGTATAATCGGAGTTTACGATCTTTCCACGTAACTTCTTCTTCCCTTTCTGACCCAGCTTTCATCAATGCATCAATTTTCGTCTCCAGGTTATTAAATTTCTGTACAATTTCTGCTAATTCCATTTCATGTTTCCTTTCGTTGCATTCCTTCGCCCTAAAATCTACAGCTTGTTCCATTGCCTTGTGTCTAGGTCCAGCGTCTTCAGCTTCAAACCGCCTTGCACGCAGCAGTTCCTCTTCATAATGTCGCAGTCTCTCATCCTTCCTGGCTAATTCTTCTTGCAGTTCTCGAACACGCTTCTCAAGTTTCACCTACAAAACATTACAACAAATCACAGATAATTGTACTACTCGAGAAAAATATTTAACACACAAACATTTCTTACGTTAGCACGTTCTGCCGTTTGGATATCAGAGAGAATTATGTAAGAAACCATTGTTTCTCCAACAAGTAACAGAGAACCTTAACTTACGGAAGAAATCGCTCTAAAATTAATTAAAAATTTGCAATTAATAAGACGCAAACTTACAGAAATTCGCTGCATATAAGTGGAGAAACTTAACGAAATTAATGATCACACATTAAGAGATATCCAGCATAAACACATGAATAAAAAATATTGCGTCGCTGATATTAGCTGGTGATTTGTTTACTTTTTTGTTGTTATAATACTACTCTTTGCAATTGACGAGTCAGGATATATTTTAATATTCTATATAGTACTCTACACGCTGAACTTCACAGATGTTTTTGTGAGTCAAGGCCCTCTGGAAGGACGATGTTCTCTCAGCAATTACATTTACAGCAGACGAATTAAATCGATAGAAAATAAATAAAACAAAGCTTAAAGCATGTTTAGGCCTGCACAACTTTCGTACACATTAGGCACCACCTACAAGGACTAGGAGCCAGGGTGTATAGGGAACCCAGGGCAGAACGGGGAACTTAGATTTGGAGGCATGTGGAAGGGACAACAACAAAGACAAACACACGGAGGAATCTTGTGTGGATTTATTGTCTATTTCAAATTTATAATGAGTTATTAGTTTAGTTCTAAGAGTTACAGTTTTTTAAATATTAATGTCTTTACAAGAATGTAACTTGCCCCATTTTGCTCCGTACCTGGGGCAAGACGGAGTATGGTTGATATATGTTTGAAAAGTTTTAAGAAGACACACATTATCTATGTAAGATTTGAGGTTTTCACAGCGGTTAGCATGAAGATTTCTGTCTTCTGGGTTGTTGCGCCGTTTAGTCTGGTCGATGTTTACCAACGTTTCAGAGGTCATACTGCCTCCATCATCAGGGCGAAGAATGTTGTTGCCCTGATGACGGAGGCAGTATGACCTCCGAAACGTTGGTAAACATCGACTAGACTACACAGCGCAACAACCCTGAAGACAGAAATCTTCACAGATTATCTAATAATTATGACGTAGGATATAAAAATGATTTAGTATACAATGCAAAATATCGAAACTTACACATTTGAAATCTACTTAGGCCTAATATAGACGGTACACATGCGCACCTCTTCATCATCGTGACTATCAACACCCACACATGAGTTATGGGCCGATTTCAAGCAAGACGAATACCGGATCCACCAATCAATAGACTGCGAATAAACATCGCCACTTTACAGGCACTTGTCATTGTATCCTCTTTTCTGGGAACCCCATCCTGCCCCGAGTATACTCTTTCAAATTAGGATTGTACCATCAAAAATTACACCATGAAAATAAATAAAAATGTTGTGTTTGAGACTTTCAAGAAAACACCTTGTAACATGCATCATTCAACAAAGTGGACATGAATAATGAATAGGTTTAGCCTTCACTGGAAGTTGAGAAAAAAATTGTAAAATGTAGGAGCAAATTTCAGCATGGGCGATTATTTCAGAAAATGTGACCACAAAATGGCTGTGACTGGCATGGCATGACTCTGTGCTGTATGCTAATGGTTTTTCATCCTGTCCCGATAGATTGCAGACGAAATAAAGCCGATACCCTGTTCTGCCCCGGACTTCCCTACATGAATTTAATTCAATATAAACACATTTGCAAACGCTGACGCTGACGATTGAAACGGAACTACAAGGCACGGCATCGAAAATGTTACATCGTCATATACAAAAATGTAAAAACAACTGTATAGTTTAGTAGCAGAAAATTTAGGCTCGTTTATTTCAGTGGCACTGGTGGTAAGTACGTCAATTGAATTGCGATGACCCTCAGGTTCGTTTGGGGCTGAGAAGTAGGATAAATTTCGTTGCCTTGTGTTAGTTACTTATACATACCTAAATATTCTAATTTTCTGAACCACAAAATTTTACATTATCAAAAATATTCGAAATTTTAAAATCCAAATTAAACATTTTATAATTTCCATATTTGAAGTTCCAACATTTAAAAACAATATTCAAAAATATCTTTCCTAAACTAAACTCTCTCAACCGAAGCTAAACAAACCTAACCTAACAAAGCAGATAGGAGTTGACGCGCCACAATAGTTACGCCGTGCATATATTTCCTAACTAATCTATGTAACGTTGGAATGTCTGTGGACCAATGCGTACGAAAATGAATATTCTTAGAAAAGTCGATTGTAAAGTCGCTTGTCAGAGAATAAATCGCCCACGTTCTTTAAGGAAACCGAACGTTCACCACTCCATTCACAAAAGCCAGCGATGGGACAGTCCTGAGCCAGCTGCATCTAGTTCGATCCATCGATTCCTATCTCCCTAAGTTCTATCTTAACGTTTTTCTCCCACTGTACCGAGGTCTTCCTACCAGTCTCATCCCTTCTGGCCTCCCAACCAATGACTTGTAAAACCCCAGCCCCAACCTTATGCGTGTCACATGTTTCGCCCACCTCATCCTCGTCGATTTAATAATCCTAACAATATCAGGTGAGGAGAGCTATTTTTCTCTGTGATTTTTCTCCCTCCCGTTTCAGTCAAAATATCTTCCTCAACACTCTGTTCTCAAAGACACTCAGTCTATGTTCCTCCCTGAAAGCGAGAGACCAAGTTTTGCACCATACAGCACAAGTGACATAGTTCATTTTAACCTTCAGATTTTTTATGTCATATTGGTGGACAAAAGATCTTAGACTGAATGACAGCAAGCATTCCCTGAATTTAATCTGCTGTTATTTTCGTCATAAATCTCATTCAGATTTGTTAGTGTCGTCCCCAAGTAGGCTTAAATTTTGTCACATTTTCGAACGATTTATTAGATGTCCTTATATTCTGGTTCTGCCCTGAATTCTGATGCCTGAGACATTATCATGTACTTTGTCTTTCCTGCATTTATATCTAGACCAAGATCCCTACTAGCCCTTGAGAGTGTTTCTGTGTCGCTTTTGTAGTATTTATGTTATCGCCTAACAGATTAATATCATTAGCAGAGACCAACAGCTTATTTGTCCCAATCAATTCCAAACCACTCTGATATTCTTGAACTTTCCTGATGACATATTCTAAGGAAAAATTAAAAAGCAGCAGCGATAGAGCATCTCTCTGTTTCAGGCCATTCTGAATAGAAAATTTACCAGACAAATGTTTACCTACACGAATTTTGTTAGTGGTTGCACTTAAACACGTTTTAATTTGCCTGAGTAGCCTCTTAGGTAAACCAAATTCAAGCAAAATGATGAAAACATCTTCTCTTCTAACTGAATCATAGGCTTTCTTGAAATCTATATATAAATAGTTGGATTGTCCAGACACTAGAGAAGAAGTGGGAGTATAATGGTACTGGGATACGGGGAACGACCCGTGCTTCAAGTGCCTTGAGCATCTGCGGGTCCGAACTTTTATTTGGCTTGATCTATGGACATTTGGTAGGGCTCCTTGGACGAGGGATCGGCCTGTCGCAAGGCCTCTACCTGTACACAGGACAGCACAACACAGAAAGACGCGGACAGACATCCATGGCTTGAGTGGGATTCGAACCCACGGTCCCAGCGGCACACGGCCCACGCCTCAGACCGAGCGGCCACTGCGGACCCCAGTATAATGGTACTCCCACCTTTTCTCTAGCATCTGGCGAATGTAAGGAATCTGGTTAGCTGTAGATCTATTACGACGGAACACACAGTGATGATCATCTACATTTTCATTGGCACGTGGTGTTAGCCTCGCCAGAAGAATATTGGACAAGCTTTTGTTGGCAGACGACAAGAGGGTGATTTCTCGATAATTATTTCGATCAGTCTTATCACTCTTCTTATGAATTGGGACAATAATAGATTCCTTCCACTGCTGTGTCATTTCAACCTTAATCCACGTACAGTAAATAAGTTCGCGTATCTCAGGACGCAACGTTTCGCCTCCTGCCTTGATCAGTTTGGCCGGAATCTATACTTTTTCAACTTCTCAATAGCAGTCTCCACTTCGCCGCAAATCTATTGGAGATTTCTACCTGGTACTTTCCCTTAAGTTCTGCATCACTGAGTTTTTTTTTTAAATCAGATCTTCCTAAATCAAACGTTTGCCATTCTTGTTAACTGACTGAAAGTCTCTGACTTAATTTTGCCACTACCAGGTGATGGTCGGTATCACAGTCAGCTCCTCTGAAAGATCTGACATCTAATATACGTACTAGCGCGTTGTCTTTTGTCAGAACATGATCTGATTACGTGTGACACAATCAGCAGATGTCCAAATATATTTATGAATATAACGATGAGGGAATTTGTGATTTTGACAATTAGAGTATTTAAAGTTACAGAATTTAGTACTCTGACTAAATTATCGTTACTAACTTTATGTAGAATTTCCTTACGAATACGCGGTTTAAAAATGTCCCTCTCTACCTGTAGACAAACGAGTGTTAATCCGTGGACGATTAAACCACACGGCGAGGGGCATTTAAAATGATTCCCGTGTCTTCTACGGTTTGTATCCGAACACCTGAACTGTTAATTCCACAAAATGTGTTACTGCAGTCGAAGGCTGCTCGCTCTTTATTACTTACACGCCGCTTGAAGGATGTCCCGCACAAACTGAACGTTAACTTCCTCATAATGGATGGAAGATAATTAATGCTTAATCGTACAGCCAACGACTTCAAATACTCTTCACGTTGCGGGCCACAATAATCACGGGAATTAAAGCAGTTCGTTTACAACTAAAACAGCATAAAAACATTTCCATTATTGACACAGTTGCGTTTCTTGTCGATTGTTGACAATTATATGTCATATGTTCTCTTTTAGCTTCTTTAGACAGACTTTATTGTTACATGTTTAAAATATAGCGCGTGCATTTGTGGTAAAATCTCCATCGTAACAACATAAATATTTATCTGAGCAAAACATTTTTTCTAGCAAAAGTTGTTTTGAGTAACGAACCAATATTTCATTCGCAACTCTGTTTTACCGTAAAGTCTCAACCTTCGAGGTAATTAAGCAAAATGTTTTCACTCTTTGCCAGATGAATCCAGTTCACATCCTAACTTTCTGTTTATTTAAGTTCGATTTTATCATTGATCTCTCATGTTCAACTAGATCTCCTTACATTCACTGCCCATTTCAACCGCCTAATACAGTAAAACCCCTCTATATTGGACACTTTTAATTGGAACCAGCGAATATCCTATAATTTTACATGTCTGCAAAACCCTATATCTTGGACACCCCTTTATCCTGGAACTTGGTAACCCCTTTCGTTGTAAGTTGGACAGGTGCATGCATGCATGCACTTAGTTTCAATTCTGTTATGGGAAACGTTTAGAGTTAATATTTTGTTGTTTTGAATTTCTGACTGATGAATACCTTCTACCTGAGAGTGTGAGACATTGAACGCATCATTGGAATGCAGCGAAAGTGAATAGTTATTCTTTTGTTAAACCCCTCACTGGAGTTTTAACTTTGTCAGTTCTGTGCTTGCAACTGAGTTAAACAGTGTTAACAGAAATTGCAATGGTATGCTTTCGCTCATAACCAACAAGGAATGGTTGAAACCTTATTCGGATTGCAGCGAAAATTAGAAAGAGGATGGCAAATTCCAAGATAAAGGCAAAAAAGCAATGTTTTGTGACGGACTTTTTTACAAGAAATAAGTGACATCATATGTTGAGCTACTGCCACAAGTACAATTAAAAAAAATACGTTCTGAATATTTAAAATTTCATTGAGGCTGGGGTGTAATGTGCAACCATGAGAGTGGGTTTCAAAAGATTATTATTATTATCATTAATTCTTAATTCAAGCAAGCCTACAGAGTTAGTGTATGTAAGTATATTATTATTTATATTATTTATTAACTAGGTTACATTGTCGGTAAACGTAAAGTATTGGTGTCCTTCCCTTTGAGCTTATCCATGCAAGTTTAATTTACTGAAAACAAAATTTGTAAAAATTTAATTTACCCTTTTGATTTTTCTTATCAATAATTTTATTTTTGGGAAGGGCTCCATAATACTCTATAATTACCACATTGTCATTACACCACAATTTGAAAGGATGATTTTCCCCTTTCCCTCTCTCCTGGACACCTCTGTAAGTTGGACACATTAACGTGGAACCGCAAGTGTCCAAGTTTCAACCATTCCTTGTTGGTTATGAGCGAAAGCATACCGTTCCAATTTATGTTAACACTGTTTAATTCAGTTGCAAGCATTGTACTGACAAAGTTAAAACTCCAGTGAGGGGTTTAACAGAGGAATAACTATACACTTCCACTGAATTCCGATGATGTGTTCAAAGTCTCACACCCTCAACCATAAGCTAATCCTCAGGTAGAAGGCATTCATCAGTTAGAAATTCAAAACAACAAAATACTAACTGTAAACGTTTCCCATAAAAGCTTCGAAGTTAAGTGCATGAACCTGTCCAACTTACAACAAAAGGGGTGTCCAAGATATAGGATGTTGTGGACATGTAAAATTATGGGATATTCGCCGGTTCCAATTAAAATTGTCCAATATAGAGGGGTGTCCAGGATATAGGGGTGTCCAACTAGAGGGATTTTACTGTATACCGTAATAGACGTTTGAAGAATATGCAATTGTTTGAAACTTTCTTGTAGATTCTGAATGAATGAATAGTGTCTGCATAATGAAGTATCTATTCGGCCTGAATAGGATAACTAAGAAACTACTGCAAACAAGGAACGTGAATGAACGTTTGTATTAAGTTTTGCTTTGAGCATGAGAATGCCAACAAATTCTACATACAATATTATTTCGTGGTAAATAGTACAAGGTGACAATGCATATTTTTTCGTGATGCACGTAGTCTGTAGTTAAATTCCATTTATTTACTATTGCTATTAATATCTCTACTAGTAATAATAATCAGAATAACAATAGTAATAAAGAATTTAATTAAATAATTAGAGTGCGTTGTTAAATATTTTATTGAAAATTTTCTCTTACGTCCATATATCTTATGCATTATGCACTGATAAGCTGATGTGGATAGTATTTTAACAGTGCATCTTTTAGGTAAACTATGAGCGCTAAGAATGCAAATATGTTTCGGTACGGATTTGAGGCCTTCCAGTCTTGTTACTAGGAATCATGATCCGAACACGAATGTTATACCTTTCTGGTTTGTCTTGTGTTGAACAGGTTGCAGTTTCTATTAATTATACCAAACCAATGGTTGCTAGTACTTTATTACTTACCAAGCTTGCAGAGAGTGTTCTGAAACAACTGTGTACTGCTACTGACTTGATGGGTGGATGAAATATAATTCCTTCTTGAATTTGCTATTTAAATGAACAGCTTCGAACTAACACTCTTCGCTTCACTTTGCTAACTGCGGAAACTAAGGTTGTTGATTTACAATTGTTGCATGTCGCAAACCCAATATCAACAAAACAAACTATTCCACTTTTTCTTTAGCATTTGGCGAATTAGAACATCTGATCAGTTGCACATCTATTATGACGGAACACACTCTGATAATCTAATAATAATTAATTCCATTGGGATATGGAGTCACGTCTCCAGAAGAATTTTGGATACAATTTTGTAGGGAGATAATAAGAGGGAGATTCCTCGATAATTAGGCTTACAAAACCGAAATATAAATTCTTCACAGTTCCCTAAAATGCTTTAAAAATGTCGATTTATCAAGAAGTGTAAAGTATCAGAATTATTATTCAGAATATATACAACACTCTTTAACATCAATGTATGTTTTATTAAGATTCTGGGCTACCAACCACGTTTCATCCCTTCAAAATTGTAAAATGTTAATTGTTTTCTGGAATATTATGATGATGTGAACAAACAGAAGTCAATCTAATATTATTTAAAATTGTGTTAGAAAGAAGAGAAACCTGATTTCCTCACAGAAGTTCGTAAATGTAAATGAAGACATGTTAATATAATTATCAATATTAATTATATTCAATTAAATTATGTTATTGTTTCCCAACAGCAAGAAGCCAATGATAGGCAAACACTGATAATACGTACAATAATAATGAAAGTTGACACACAAACTGGTAACTAAACATATATATGTACAATATTAAATATAACAGCCAAATACAGACAAACCCAAAATAGAAACAATATTATACACAAAGAAAAATAAATGAATATAAATAAAAGAAAATAATCCACCTACGGAAATCTAATATAAATGTAAAACGCTAATAAAATAAAAAAGCAAACTAGATCATTTATTAAGAAAACCTATCTAGATCATTTCCTTTCTCGAGAATGTGGCCTCAAAGGAGACAATGTTTATGTTAAATACGTCCAAAGATTTACATAAATCATTTGCAGCGATGACGCACCTGGCTGAAGGACTATGTCCTAACTCACTGTTCACACTAAAAAGTAATAATAAAAATGGGAAACCCTTACCTCTTCCTTTCTTCAAGAGGAAAAGAACTGGATGTCCACCGGAAAGAAAGAACAATTGAATCAAAAGTAATATGGAGAGAGCTGAGGACAGTATCACAAATTCCTTACTTCGTATTAGAAATGTACTTGGGTTATTCTGAAAGGTTTTTAACAAAAAATTAACTGGTCTACGACGCACTTTTTCTACGAGCGATTCAAAGCTAAGTTATTTCCACAATAGAGAAAGCCGTTTCTTGACGGCAATATACACTAATGAAATGCAATTAAGCCCAGTAAATAATTGACGTAACAATTAGTTTCTTAGGTAAAAGAATTGAGAGCATTAATTCAATTCGATTCATTTATTTATTTGAGTCCATAACAACAGCCATAAAAGCCAATAACAGGCAAGCACTAACAACAATACAAACATTACAATACAAAAGCAAACAATGAACTGAATATATAAATGTATAATATTAATTATGATAATAATTCAAATCGTTTATTGCAAAATAATTAACAAGTAATTGAGCTATATAATATGCATAAATAAATTAATAATTAAATTAAAATCAGTTCAATTTTGAACAAACATACAAAATAAAATGTTATACTAATTGAACATTAAAAAGAATTTTGTTTAAAAAGCTGACTGACATTAGTAAGCAAAACAGGATCTTTGTTAGAGATGTCGATGCTCCTACAGACTGCATTGGTAGCAGAAACACATCTGGCAGAGGGACTGGCCTTGAAATTACGTTGTACAGTAAAGGTAGAGTAGTCTCTGATAGACCTAGTGGGTATGCAGAGACTAACTGTATCAAAAACAGATGAGTAACTAATTTCGCCTTTAAAAACATTAACGAGGGAAAGCGCATCCAAAAGCCTCCTCCTTAAATCCAACGATAAAAAATTGACAGTGGAACCACGGTTCCGGAGAATCTGACGTAAATACGTCTCTGTATTTAAATTATATTTAAGCAATAAATACAATGAAAGGAAAGTAACTGAATGTAATGTAATGTAAGGAAATATAATGTCAAAATTATCTAGTCTACGACGCACTTCTTCTACAAGCGATTTACAGCTCAGCTCAGCTCTTTCCGCAAAATACAGAGCGAGTTTTTGACGGCAGTAATGTAACACAACAATACAGAGTAAACAGATGAAGTTTCCTAGGTAACATAACAATTCACGCAATCTGACCATTGTTGTCTGTCTATATTTACACATTGTTGATATGGATTTACACGTTTTCCTAGGTAACAACAATTCCGATTAAACACGACGTTCCATAGGTAACCATTGTTGTCGATTTGTTGACACGGATCTTACACATTTTCGTTCCACATTTTCCTTTCGTTCTTTTGCCGAATGACCCTTAATTATGATAAATTGAAGTAACAGACAAAAGTGAAATAGTTAATATTGCAGAGTATTTGAACATAAAGCATCTGAAGGATCCATGTATTAATGTCATAAAATTACACAACGGGTCTCAAGCAATAATGAACTCAATAAATAAGACAGCGTCGAAAATCAAAGAAGAGCTAAATTCTGAAGATGAAATCAATGACACAAATGAAGGAAAACAAATTAAGACATTGATTCAAGAAAGTATAAAGAAAAAATGGGAGAACAAAATAATGCATGGACAGTATCTCCGAAGTTTGGACAGACAACTTATAAGCAAAGAAGACACGTTTCTGTGGCTAACAAGAGGAGATCTGAAAGGGGAAACTGAAAGCCAGATTATAGCAGCACAAGACCAGGCACTAAACACAAAATATTACGCAACAAAAATACTGAAAAAAGATACAGACAGCAAATGCAGATTATGTCAGCAATTTGATGAGACGACAGATCACGTT